ATTAACAAGTTAACAATTAACAAATAGAATTTTACAATGTTTGAAATTCTAAAATCTCCAATTATTTCTCATTATTAGAAATTTTTCATCTAGGCCGAAATTTTCCACAGAAATACCCATGGAAACCCGTTTCATGAAAAGATTCCAAGCACAGTTCAAACAGTAACAAAATTCCATTACTTTCGTTTCTTTTTCGGTATCAATTCCAAACCACTCATATATTTGCTATCAACACCATACTCATTTGTGAGAAGTTCACTAGCGAACTGAACCTGAAATGTGAAACGAATTGTAAAATGCTGAAAGACTAAAATCAAACATTCGAAAGAAATTCCATTACAAAAAAATCTTCAATCAAAACCACTAAGATATTTGAAAAAAAAAATTGAAATCCAAATTCCAAATAAGGAAAACAGAAAATCGCCATCAAATAATTACCTGATTTCCTTGAATGATCACCTGAGGTCCCTCACATAACGGTGCATCGTTGAGTATTGTTGCCGACGTAGCGATTCCAATTTGAACTTTATGACAAAACGGTTTCGCGTCAATTCCATAAACACAAAGATTGTTCACCAATGTTATCTTTTTATTACCCGATCGAGTTTCTACCTGAAGCAATTTTATCAAGAATTCCATATCGCCACTCAAAGTTCATAATTAAAGTGAGATCTTCACGAAATTTCGTTAGCGTTTCCACGTTCTCGTACAAGAATATTCTATCAAATAACCAATTTCATCGCTTCTTTCTTGTCAAACAACTCAAAAATTAAATTGACAAACGAATTCTTCACAACCGAGTCATTCACTCACTTTGAAAACAATTTTCGGCAATTCAATTTTACGAACTGTCTCTCGTCCATCCGCCGTTATAATGACGAATGTTTTAGTCATTTTCGATAAAATTTTCTGCATTAACGTATTCCAATCGATCGTTTCACTCGGATGCTTCACTATACTTTGCAATAGTTCGTCGTTTCTCAAATGAACTCGATTCTTATCGCATAATTCCTGAAATTTAACTATTAACATAAAAGTTTTGCACAGAACAAAAAAATCATGAATTCACTAAATTTTCCATCGCCTACCCTATTCTTCGCATACGTTGTGATAATTTCTCGTACTCGTTTAGTCTCGAGTAGATCTCCTCTGGACAGTCCTCCTTCGAGGCGAAACAGCGGCAAAACTGGCTCAGTGACACTGAAGTATTCGTTGATCTGGATTTGAGATCGTGCCTTTGTCTGTTGCACCAAATCTTCAGTCACCTCGTCGGTTCGTTTGAAATCACTCAGCAATGGATGCTCCCAATTGATCTACAAAAAAAAATCGCTTGCGTTTCGGTTCAAAACATTAAGTGCACTCTTAGCAAATCAACCTTAAAACTTCTTTTCACCATCTAAACTGAAACAAAAAATGGAATGAAACAACGAAAGTATTTCAATTATTTCTCCATAAATGTCATAAATAAGCAACTTCAACAATCTCATCAAGGCCTTTTCCTCTCGGTGCTGTCTTCATGATTGGTCCGGCAGCCGACGAATTTATTTCGTGCAAAAATACGGAGAATTTCTTGTATTTCGTCTTCTTCATGTCGAGTCTTCTCATTGGCGGACAACACGCCAACACGAAACGTGAATAAAATTCGCCCACATCCAATGGAAGTTCCACTTTTTTCGCCGCGACACGATACTTCAATGCGGCCAAAAAACAACGTTGCAACTGAAATTACTTCATAACTTCATAATTTTTGCATGAAACTGAAACTTCTCAATGAGGTGATATCAAACCCAATCAAATTTTTCACGAAAACAAGTTCGAATGTTCCATTTTTAAACATTTTAAACTTGACCTCAAATTTTGAACTCTGCCTAAAATTCAGCTTATAATTAGACCTAAATCTCATCCTCATATAAAATCTCAAAATGGAATAAAAATCGAAACTTCTCACCAACTCTTCCATCGTTTCGGATGGTTCTTCAAATTCAATCGCTCCTGATTCTGCTGAACCTTTTGAATCGATCGGTTGCTTTGATGTGACATCATTTGAGTTAACACTGGCTCCCTGACCATTTTCCTGCGGCTCCGTTACTGCAGTTTCAGGCTTCTTTTCATCGGCAATGTTCAGCTTCGCCCCAAGTTCCGGGAAATCCTCCTCACTCAACGGCTTCCTGACGAATACTTGTGGGAGCGCTGTCTGTGGTGGATGAGTCCGATCGCCGAATTCCCTTCAAAATTTACTCACGTTCGTCAAACTTTCAACTGGCTCATTTTTCTGATGATCAATTTGAGCTTGAAAAGTATGAATGGTCAATCGAAACTTATATGAATCACATCCGAAATAAATCTGAAACGAACCACATCAAATCCCTATACAAATGTAAAATCTGAACGCCTCGTCCTTGCATACCACTCGCCAGCATCTCCATCGAAGACATCAACGATACTCCCACTCCGACAGGACCTAAATTCGAACCTTGCACATCTGATTTCAAAATGAAAAAGCAATTCTTTCGTGAAGAGGACTGAAAATTCTTGACGTGAGTTGCTTCACAAAACGTTCACTTCAAAGAAACGAACCCCAAGTTTCAGTCCATCACCTGCGAAATATACCTCTTTCGACACTCACCTTTCACAGAGCTACCATCCGCAGTAATCACCGAAATGGCCACTGGGAAATTCCTATTGAATTCCGGAAATTCTCCTCGCTTGTAGACAACACCTATAAAAATAATAACTTGTCATTTTCGATCACAATTCTTCACCATTCTTAATCTGAAACATAGGAAAATAAATGAGATAAATGAGATAAAATCAAATGAGATAAATTTCACTAACGATACCTGGTAACATCAGATCAGCACCGTTCTGTAGACGCATAAACACTGGCTCATGCACCAAAATTGTTGGAAATGCTTCTGGATATGCCCAACAAAAATACACTGAAATTAATTTCAAGCTGAATTTTTTCAACAATAAGAATTTGTTAAAACCATAACAACAGAGGATGAATTGCACGAAATCTATGGGATTTCCCATTTACCTGTTGGATAAAGATTCGTATCACCATCGATCTCGAACAATAGCGGATTCCTATCGAACGTATATGCATTCATATGAGCACCATTATTCGCTAGTAACTTCACATGAGCCACCTGCGATTTTGATGTCGTCAACAGGTCAGCACAATGCATTCTACTCAATAATTTACGTCTGAAATTTAAAAAAAGATTGAAAAATTAGCATATTTCCTCTAAAAACTTCTGGATATACACTAATTCATAAACTACTTCTCTAGTTTTCAATCCGACAATGTTGTTAAAAAATTTTAAATCATTGAACGGATGTATACGTGGAGATAGCGAAGTTTTTAAGAAAATTTTGCCGTTTTAATGAAAGAAACGAAACATTGTTTATAGAGTAACGAGTAAAAATCCTCCGGACACGACGATCTCTGAAGTAAAAACTTTAGATACATTGAAAAAAAGGCAAATGAAATGCTGATTGTGAGCAAAAAACAGACCGATCAGAATTCCGCATATTTGTATTACTTTTCACGGAAAATGGTTTACGGAACATGATTTTGTCACT